ATTACACCCTGTCACTCCAGTGGATCTAAAACTGATTGTACGGTGAAAGAAAGTAAACTAAAGCGGTTGTTTTAATTAATTTGCACAAGGGTGTATGTTGATTGTTTGGGCAAAATATGTTGCATGGGACTAAAATCGAGAAATTCTAAGAACATATATGCCATGATTCCACTAAGAGATATTCCCATTGGTAATCAAAACATTTGTGTGTAAAAATCCTTATTAAATGTGAAATAGAAATGATTGATGATGAAGCGGCATATTTTTATTATTTTAGCTATTCGTAGAGAGAGGATTAATTTTGATTGTGTTAGACGCTTTTTTAAGAAATTTAGACATTTTTCAAATAGGCGCTGGTATTAAGTAATTTTATACACTCAGTTGTGTTGGAAGCTGAGTGAATAATAACACCACCTTGAGATAGAGATCTATTTATGGTGCCATGGAGCATCTCATTGTGCTAAAGTGGGGTAGTCTATTGCTTGGGCTGTGATTGGCTGCTGGTACATGAGTGGAGGTATTTCTGTATAAATACCAGCTTGATTCATCAGTTGGTTTGCAGGGTCTGTATTGAGTTACAACCTGCTTTATTTTTCTCTGCCAGCTGGACGCTAGCTGGCACCTTTACGCCGGTATGTGCTGTTTATTGTATTGCTATTCTACATAGGTGATATTTTATTAATCTATATCAGGACTTGTTTTCATTTTTAATTAGGTCCCGAATCCTCTTGTTACATTTTTGCGTTTCACTAATTATTTTCTGTTAATTTTGTATGTGTCGATATCGGTTAAAAATATTAAACATTTCTCTATTCCTTGCAGATCTTTTCTTTTCACAGTGTGGAATATCTGTTATCAAAAGTCATGGAAGCAAAACAATAAAAAACAAACTGTAAATGAAATCGGCTAGATTATATACAAATAAATAAATAAAACTGAAAATTCCCAGCATCCCTCGTTCGTGCGCATGTGCAGTCACACCAACGTAAACAATTTAGTACGATGAAGTCGTAAATGACGAAACGCGTCCAACGAAAACTTTTTTTTACTTTGTCATTTGTCATATTTCCCCATATACATAATATATATTTTTTTCCCCATATACATAATATATATATATATATATATATATATATATATATATATGTTAGCTCTATCTCTGATATTGAGCGCTTTCTAATAAGTACCATATATAACATATAAATAATTATACATACATATATTTATTTATATTTATATACACACACACTTTTTACACACACACACAGACACACACACACACACACACACACACACATATATATATATATATATATATATATACAAAAGGTGATTGAAAAGATTTATGTATGCTGAACTTTTTGTCTTTTAAAAATTTTAGTCACCATACGTAAAATAGGAAGATACTTTTTCACCTATATATATATATATATATATATATATATATATATATATATATATATATATATATATATATATATATATAGTGCTGTTCGATAAAATTGTCACACCTGATGTTTTTACTTAAAAATTTTTTCGCCTATTGTTTTTGGGGTCAAACTAATTTTTAATCTTACTAATATAAAGACCACTTCCCGACCACCTAGTAAAAATTTTACTCACCCTAAAGTATTCTATTGATAATTATAATTTTGGATATAAATGAGATTTAGGGAAAAACTCTGTGCCAAAAATTATTATTTCCTGCAACTAGTAATCAACAAAAATATAACCGAACAGCTTTAAATAAAGAACAATAGATTTATAATTTATTTATAATAGGTAATATAGTTCGAAATATTTAATAATCTATAGGTCCTCCTTTATTTTAAATAACCTTTTCAACCCTTTTTGGCATTGACTTGATTAAGTTCTGGCAAATTTCATCTCCAAGCATTGAATTCCATTTGGATATGAAATTCACAATCAAATCCTCTTTTTTGCCCAACTGCTTTCTCGAGAGTCTGTACTTTATAATTCTCCATAAGTTTTCTATATGGTTGAGGTCATGAGATTGGGGTGACCATGCCATAACACTTACCTCCTTCTTATCAAAGTATTCCTTCATATTTTGATTTGTGACAGGGAGCATTATCCTGCATAAAAATGAGCTTGGTGGGGTCGATTTTCACCCTTTCAGCAGAAGGGAGCAAACAAGACTGTAAAATTCTCTTGTACTGCTCGCTCCTGAGGGTCTTTTCAATAGGTTTTAAGAAAAGCATCCCCAGAGCATTATACTGAACGGATGCTTGACGGTACTTACTGCTAAATTCAAAGAGCTTTCAAAGCTTCTTCTTCAGATTTTAGATCGCTTATCCTTTGAATTAAGCTCAACTTTCGTTTCATCGAAGAAGAGAACATTTAGTAATAAAAATCAGGTGAGTCACTTTTATCGAACAGCACTGTATTTATTGACAGTTATATTATATTGGAATGTGTGATGCCGCAACGCTAGAGTTCTTGTTTAAATGATTCAATTGTGAATTTTGCTTGAATTTATTATCGTGATCTTTCGTTGTAAACAATATATATATATATATATATATATATATATATATATATATGTGTGTGTGTGTGTGTGTGTGTGTGTGTGTGTGTACGCACACGCGTGCTGTCTCATGTATATTTATCTGACAAAATATCACTGAGAACGCATCTCGAAAAGGATCTCTAATCAGTTGGTAACTGGGAATGCTTTATAAATGTTAATGCCCTCAAAATGAAACCGGTATCTTTTAATCATCATAGAGAATTTTTGATGCCTTGCATCAACAAGGCTGATGATAAACATTGAGAGATCAACTCATTGCGTTATTCTTATCGTTCATTTTCCGCAGGCATGAAGTGCAGTGATTATAGGGAATCAATTGCCGGAAAGTTGGTTCCAGGTAAATGTTCTTGTCAGAATTCATTATGCACATTTATATATCTACCATATGTCCGTGCATTGAAATTTTCCGATTTATCTGGTCTGCTGTCCGTAAAACACACACAGACACAGACACAGACATACAGACACACACCCACCCACACATCTATATATATATATATATATATATATATATATATATATATATTTATTTATATATTTAGGCATCAAATTCTCTTTTAGGTATGTCTGATTAAATAAATTACAAACATTATTTCTGCTAATTTTTAATAAAATCCATTCATTCTCACGAATAACCTTCCGTGTATTACAACTAAATGATGTGAGAAATGTGTTGTAACTCTTAAAATCGCTCTTATTTCAAACTTCTCAAGTACTTTCGATCTCCTTCGGAGATCATCATCAGGAGTGCAAGTAGTAATACAAAATTGTGTATTGCTATCAATTATTGTAATTTTTTTGTTGTTTTTGCTTTTAAATTCAAGTGTTGACAGTCATGCTTAGCGTTCATTAGAACGGGAGAAAATATCCACTATGGAATTTTTTTTTCTATGTTGTAATATCATTGTCGATGGTTGCGCTAGATAACACAATTTCCACCAGAAACTGTAACTAAATTTGTCTCATAGTTGCAGTATAAATCGCAGGCAGGTCTGTGAGTGTGGAACAAACAGAAATGTGTCTGAGAAGGCGTCTGCAATAGGGATTGGCTATCCACCCTAGTAGACGAACATCCTCGGATAGGAGAAATCAGCCATTATTAATTATGTATACATCTATCAGAAACTGCAATATGTGACGCAAAGAGAAGACGAAACAATTATTGGATGAAGGATATTTTTTTCGCTGTCACCATAATTATCTTGTAACCCGGAGAGAGTTATGGGATAAAGGTAATGAAACACCAACTTGATCGTGCACACACTATCCCATGGTAAATGATAAAAAGATTGGGTACAGGTTAGAGAAATGAAAACAATTGAGTTTGGAATGGAACGCATGATAAAATATGATATGGTTTGAAAAGATAAGGCAACCAAAAGAAAATAATACATGTTGAACTATATTCGTCAGATATAAACAACCGGACAACCATTATTACCAAATTTATATACGAAAGGAAAAAGAGTAGAATAAACGTATATATCTAAGCAGTTTAGTGTAATTAATAAAAAGAACAGTCTGTGTGTGTGTGTGTGTGTGTTAATGATTTGCACTCGAATCTATCTATCTATCTATCTATCTATCTATCTATCTATCTAGTTGAAATGCACTGAAACGAAGTTGCATCTTTTTAGTGAGTAAAATGGTTTTGTCTATATGATAAAATTATAATAAATAAATAATTATCGCTCTACTATCGATATCGAGTCCTCTTTTCGATTAATGCTGTGAACGTTGGAATTCATATATTACTTTTCGTTTCATCATCGCATCGGATATATATATATATATATATATATATATATATATATATATATCGGTAGATATATACATATGTGTGTGCATGTGTGTATCCAGTTAAAATGAGAACGAATCGAGTACAATTCCAACGTTTGTAGCCTTTAATTTAAAAGAGGGCTCAATACAGAGTAGAGCAATATTATTTATTTTAGGATTTTGCATCGAAAACATGTCAAAATCGCTACACAATTGCAGTCGTGTTTCGATGAGTATTAAAATCAAATCCATCGAAACACGACTGCAATTGTGTAGCGATTTTGACATGTATATATATATATAATAAATTAACTGGTTTAAAATATGGTTTCTTTGCTACACAGGGATTACCATGTTTCAAAAACCGAAGCTAAACACTTCAAATTTAATTATATAATTAAATTAAAAGCATTAGTTCTGTTTCATCTTCAAGCGAATTTTGGTTTAATGTGTGGACATAAATTAACATGGGAACGAACAAGTTTTATGAATATAGAGCTGAAGCAGACCAATTCTAAATTTGATAAACCTCTACTCCTGTTCAAAAAACATAAGAGGAATGTCAAGCGGGCGATAGACGAATCAACAATATATAATGAAATGATTTTTTCTGTGATATTCCGTGGCAGGTATAATTTACTCAGTAACACCTTAGGTCTTAGCGGCTTTATTACATTGCTTTGGGTGAAATGATAAAGACTGTTATTAATAGATAGATAGATAGATAATGAAAAAAGGAGGTAGATATGGACATAGATAGATAGATAGATAGATAGATAGATAGATAGATAGATAGATAGATAGATAGATTCAACTACGTAATTATTCGTACGCCAATCAATTTTGAATATTTTTATCCATTTCTCAGAATCTAATTCTCGTATAATCCCTGTAGTTTTATATATTAATAAGCAAAAAAAAAAATGTTTATAAAACTGAATTTCCAGAACAATAGGTTAAATACAAAAAAATTGACAGGCGAATTATGCAAAATAGGAAAAGACAAAATTATTCGTACAATAGGGAAAAATAGAAAAACATTGTACAATTTTCATAATATTAATAGTCAATAGCATGGACTCTCACCTTTATAACTTGGTGCAATCGTTTTCTAAAGTTTTTGATGAGATTTGAACAAGGCTTTTCTTCCATTCTTTAATGGTTATACGTTCTATTTCCTGAAGGTTTTTTGCTGACCGACGATTTATTCGAACTTTCAATTCTTACCATAAATTTTCAGTAGGATTCAAATCATGGCTCATTAAAGGCCATGGCAGAAATGTACTCTTTTTCTGAAGCCAAGTAGTCACTGATTTAGAAGTATATTTGGTAGCATTATCTTGCTGGAAAGTAAATTGCCGACCTTGATGAAGAGTTTGCGCTGATAATTGTAGGTTTTATCCAGAATTTTTATATGGTCTTCAGATTTCATTGTTCATCTTATAGCAATTAATTGCCCCATCCTCCTTTAGTTAAAACAACCCCAGAACATCATCGAGCCAACTGCTTGTTTTAATCTGGCCACTGTGTTATTTGGGAGGAAAGCCTCACCTTTCTTGCGCCAAATGTACATCATTATATCCAAAAGGCTCAATTTTTGTATCATCATTCCATAGTACTTTTTCTCAAATCAAATTTCATTGTCCAAGAGCGTTTTTTGCAAAATTAAACCGAGCAACAACTTGACATGGTTTGTGAATAGGGGTTCGTTGTAGTCGGTTACCATACAAACCATTTCTATTTAAATAACGTCGTATTGCGCGGGTACTTACGCTGATACCCATCGTATCCAAACTTTTGGAGATCTCTTTCAAAACAACTCTTGGGTTAATATTAAACTCGCCACAAAGTTTTCGTGCAGTTCTCGGTGACAATTTGGGTTTTCTTCCACGCCCAGTTAAATTATCTGCCCTGCCAAACGGTTTAAAAGTCTTTATAATGGACTGTACCATAGATCACGGGATAACTAATCGGTTTGACACAGCGCTGTAACTATTTCCCGACTTGTGGAAGTTAATAATTCTCTGTCTCAAGTCTATATTAAGCTTCTTTGTCTTCGCCATCGTGTTGTTAACGGAAGAAAAGGTGACACTCCATGCATCACGTGATGTTCTTTGCTGAAATTATCACAAATATTCTACTGAATAAATTGTCTAGAAGGCTTCACCGATAAAACAATTATGTAAATTACTTATACGTTCTCAATCAATTTAAAACGATATTTTCTACTGTACGAATAATTTTGTCTTTTCCTAATTTGCATCACTCGCCTATTGTATTTAACCTATTGTTCTGATAGATGAGTTTCATATTCCTCTTTTCTGTTTTTTTAACATATAAAAAAGACAGGACATTAGATTTTCTGAAATGGATAAAAATATCCAAAATTGGTGAATGTACGAATAATTTCATCGTTGAATGTAGATAAATAATGAAAAAAAGAGATAGATATGGATAGACTACTTTAGATAGATAGATAGATAGATAGATAGATAGATAGATAGAAATGACTGAGATAGATATGAACAGACTGAGATAGATATGAACAGACTGAGTGTGTGACATAGATAGATAGATAGATAGATAGATAGATAGATAGATAGATAGATAGATAATGAAGAGACTGAAATAGATATGAACAGACTGGGTGAGATAAATATATGAAGTAACTGAAATAGAGAAATAGATGAACAGACAGGGACAAGATAAATAGATAGATAGATAACTGAAATAGATAATAGATAGATAAATAGACAGAGAGACAAACAGATAGATAGATAGATAGATAGATAGATAGATAGATAGATAGATAGATAGATATGAACTGACTGAGTGTGTGACATAAATAGATGAACTTAGATAGATAGATAGATAGATAGATAGATAGATATGAACAAAGGGAGATAAACCAATATAGATATTGAGATCAGATGATGAATGGACTCTTTTTCTTGCTTTTTCTTACATGCAGTTGTTTAGAGTTCATTAGTTACTGAAAAGAAACTGATGATTATAATCCGATCCAGTGGTTTTCGCTATTTGTTCAGCCATCGAGAGGATCATAAGGTGTTCTGGTCATGATTATATTCCCTGATGTTAAATTTTGAATATTGGCATTAAGTACATGCGCCGTCATGCTGAGTCTTGTGATTTGAATCGAAAAAAATCACCTGGGATTCTTGTCTCATTTATTTCACGAGGACTCCAACGACAGGGAGTCCCCCAGCACGTTCTATAAGCCTAGACCGCATATCAACAATAAAGTTAATGCTAATATCTAAAATCTAATAGCAGGAAGCCTTGGGCATAGACCTAAAAATTTTGCAATAAGCGGAAACAGCTCGATTTGATATTAAATTTGGCCTATTATTATATTTTCTCGTGAGCTAAAATTGCAACATTTTTTTTTTAATAATCTCATAATTTTTTCTATCAAGTTTTGTATTTGTTAAGCTTTTTTCTATCAACTTTTGTATTTATTAAGCTTAACTCATGAGAAATATTGCCAAGAAAAATGTATTAAAGAAGCTTTTCCAGAGATGAAAAGCCTCCTTGCTAAGATATTCAGCATTCTAAATCATAAGTTTTCTAACTGGAGATGATAACCAACATCTTCAACCACGTAGCGAGGTGCAAAAGTATCTGAATTACCTTGCAGAACAAGTTTAATAAAAAAAAACCCTGATATATTGATGCCCTAATATATATATATATATATATATATATATATATATATATATATATATATATATATATATATATATAAAGAAGTAATTTATACAAAGAATTAATTAGAAATGTTAAGGAAATTTATGCTGAAATCACTTCACTAACAAGACTTAATGAGACATTAACTTACTTTCAATTCCTTGAATAATACGATCCTTATATTTGAGTTGTTGTATATTTGAGTTGACGAACCAAGTACTTTCAACAATTTGAAGTTGTCATCTTCAGGGCGCAATTTTCCCATTTACTGGTAAAACGCCTTCACGAAATATGTGTAGTGTAGACCGAAAGTTTTTTTTAAATATGCTACTTATTGACAGTTATATGAAGCTAGAATTCTTATTCAAATCACGCTCCAAATAATATAAATGTCAATAAATAGCATATTTAAAAAAAAAAATCTTTCGTTCTACACTACACATATTTCGTTGTGTTGTGTTTGTCAGTAAAATGAAAAATTGCGCCATGGAGATGACAATTTGAAATCGTTGAAAGTACTTGACTCTTCAGTTCCATCTGACAAAACCTCAGATATACAACAACTCAAATATAGGGATCGTATTATTGAAGGAACTGGTAGTAAGTTAATGTCTCATTAAGTCTTGTTAGCGAAGTGATTTCGCCATAAATCTCATTAACATTGCTAATTAAATCTTTGTATAAATTACTTCTTTATAATATAAAAGCTGCATACGCTAATATATATATATATATATATATATATATATATAAAATGTCATCCACAGACAGACTGTTTCGCTGCATCACAGCTCTTCAGTGTGGCTAGACGCCCGGTTGCCTCTAGCTAGGATCGGAACCCAACCGAATTGGTGTCAGCGTACGACAGGGATGAAGGTGAATTTTAGTGTATTTACTTTTAGATAAACACAGAGCGACCGATATATAACGACAGGGATGAAGGTGAATTTTAGTGTATTTACTTTTAGATAAACACAGAGCGACCGATATATATATATATATATATATATATATATATATATATATATATATATATATATATATACTAATGAGCCTGTGTTATATAGGAACAATAACAACTACTGCCTCGTAAAAATGCTAATTTGCAGATATTTCTAAGCAAGTAAACTACCTTCGAATATTCCTATTGCTATATAGAATTATGAAAAAGAGGAATGAAGTGTTAATATTGTCTGTCCATAAAGGCTAGAATAGAGTGTTTCCAAGAGGGAACGTCCTTTTGGGGAAGACACAGTGTGATACGCACATATCGGCAATTATCCGCGGAGAAAAACTACCAAATAGCTAGGTTTTAAGTGGCAAGTGTACAGAGCCTACCGCGCCAAGCATGATAAAGCCGAAAGCCTGCTGTGGATTACATTGCATATAGCGTTAGTCAAACAGAAGAAAAAATGCATCATAATACACAAATCATATATCTTGTTGTCTATGGATCCGTGAATCCATTCCAATAATTGTACATAGTCGAAACCATATTCCCTGGGCACGAAAGTGATTAGACTGGACTTTGAATAAATGAAAGCAACTCGACTCTTCCGTTGATTCAGGCTTTCGCCTGGATGATGTGTAAAGTAGATTATGCGCGCAGCGTTGCTCTTCGTACTTTTCAGTTTTGTATCCCTCGCCCGCTTTCCAGTAGCCTACTGGATCAAAGCATTGATTCGTTAATTCAGTAAAATAGTAATTGTGAGTTCAATCCGTGGTCCAGGCAGTGTGAACACTAATTGAGAAATAGTAAAAATACGAACGAGACGAGATAACCCAAGACAAAGCTTATCTACCTGCGGAGATTAAATAATGGATTCAGTTCGGAATTCCCAGAAGTATGGACACATGAAGTCTGGAGGGCAGAACTTTCAAATAAAGATGTTAACATGCAAAAGTATTATCTCTATCGAAATAGGTACATTCCAAAGAGAAGAAGTACTTCATTAAGTCGAAAAGTGAATGTACTTGGCATATGAAAGGAAAACAGAACGTACTCTCATGTAATTAAGATCAACACTGCCGACTCAACGAGATGCAAACTATGACATTTTTTCGTCGAATTTTTAAAAATAAAAAAGTACTTTATTAAGAATAATTTAAAAAAAAAACACAACTCTTTAAAACCGAATAAAAGTAAATTATTCTGGATCATTTTTAATAAATGTTTCAATTTGAATAAAAGTTATTTAATCCTGATCATTTTAAAAACATATTTTTTATACCGAATAAATATAATTTCTTAAGGATAGTCCTTGAAATAAAACCTTTTCAAATCTAATAAAAGTATCTTATTAACATCATTTTTAAAAGTATAACATTTTAAAACTGTTCTGTTTTTAAAAGCAATGTATGAAGAATCATTTTAAAATATAACTTTCAAACCTAATAAAAGTATTTTATTATGAATCATCTTTGAAACATACCTTTTTCAAACCTAATAAAAGTATTTTTAATAAGAATCATTTTTCCAAATATATATTTTAAAAACTGATTAATGTAATTTATAGAGGATCATATATAAAATATAACTTTTTAAAACTGAATAAAAGTCATTCATTATGTATCCTTTTTCACATATCTTTTTAAAACGTATAGATGTAATTTATTAAGGATCATCTTTAAAACATAACTTTTTAAAACTAAGTAAAAGTAATTCATTAAGTGTCATTTTTAAAACATAACTTTTAAAACCGAATAGAAGTAAATTATTGAGGATTATTTTTTAAAACGTAACGTTTTAGAATGAAATAAGATAAATTTATTAGGGATCATTTTAAATGTACACCTTTTTATGACAATAGAAAAACTTACTAATTACTATTTTAAAAACATGATATGTTTTAAAACCGAATAAAAGTAATTTATTAAGCATCCATTTTATGACATAACTTTTAATACGGAATAAAAGTAATTTATTAAGCTTCATTTTTAAGACATAACATTTTAAAACCAAATAAAAGCAATTTTCTAAGTATCATCTTTAAAAAATAATTCTTAAAACCGAAATAAATGTAATTTATTAAGAACCACTATAAAATATAACTTTTTAAACCGAATAGAATAATTCATTGGGGACCATCTTTAAAACAACATTTCAAACAGAATAAAAGAAATTTATTGGGACAAAAGTGTTTAAAGCATAATGTTTTAAAACTGAATAAAAATAATATATTAAAGATCATCTTTAAAACAATTTTTAAAGATATTTTTTTAAACGAAATAAAAGTAATTTATTAGGGATTATTTTTAACGCATAACATTTCAAACGGGATAAAAGTAATTTATTAAGGAAAATCTTTAAAACAATAGTTATTAAAACCGAATAAATATAATTTATTACATTTTAAATCCGAAAAAAATCATTTTATTAGAGATAAGTTTTGAAAACATAATATTTTTTAATTATATCAAATAAAAGAAATTTATTAGGGAACATCTTTTGAAACATAACTTTTTAAAACAAGTAAAAGTAATTTATTCAAGACTACTTTTAAAAAATAGCTTTCTAAAACCGAATAAATATAATTTATTGAAGACTCTTTGTCAAACAAAAATTTTCAAAACAGATTTATAGAAATTTATTGAGAAAGAATTTTAAAGCATATCTTTTTAAAACGGTACAAAAATAATATATTAAGGATAATTTTTAAGACACAACTATTTAACCTGAATAAAAGTGATTTGTTAGGGATCATTTTAAGGAATAACTAATTAAACCGATTAAATGTAATTTAATAAGTATGATTTTTTGTAAGTAATATTTTTTTAAACTGAATAAAAGTAATTTATTATTTATCATATTTAGAATATAACTTTTTAAAAGCGAACAAAAACAAATTATTAAGGATCATTTTTGAAACATATCTTTTTAAAAATTGAGTAAATGTTATTTATTTAGGGTCAACTTTAAAATATAACTTTTTAAAAGCAAATAATAGTAATTTAATAAGGCTGATTTATGAAGCATAATATTTATTAAAACAAAATATTTATTTGACAATAATTCGTTACGGGTCATTTTTAAGACATAACTTTTTATAGCCGAATAAAAGTAATTTATTAAGTATCTTTTTTAAAACTATTCTATTTAAAACAGAATAAAGGTAATTTATTAAGGATAATATTTAAACAGAACTTTTTGAAACCTGATGATGTAATTTGTTAAGGATCATTTTAAAACAATTTTTTAAAAGCGAATAAAAGTAAATTATTAAAGATAATCTTTAAAACATAACTTTTTGAAACCGAATGAATGTATTTTATTAAAGATCATTTTTAAAATATACCATTTTAAAACCTTATTAATGTAATTTAATAAGGATCATCTTTAAATATAACATTTTAAA